CCCCCCCCCCCCCACAGAATTCCCACTTGCAGAAACCCTATGAGATTAACCTGATGGAGGAACTAACTTTGAAGGGAGTAACCCAGTACTACGCATATGTAACTGAGCGCCAAAAAGTACACTGCCTCAACACACTTTTCTCCAGGGTAATAGTCTTTAGCTGCTGAATATTATCATTACTGAAACCTAATAAAATAGGCAGTTCTGTCAGTTTTCACATTGTTTTCAGTATGAAAAAGAGTCCTTAGCTATTCCTGAAAGGAAGTTTCAGTTATTGATCTGAACTTGATACTGTATGACTGACAAGTCACAAGCACTTTTTCTTTGATTCTGAAATAATTTGACTAATTACAGTTATCTCATTTTTTGCAGATTTTGTATTTGCAAATTCACTTACTTGCCAAGTTTATTTGTAACCCCTTAATCAATACTCAAAGTGATTTTGAAGTTACTTTTGGACATACTTAGTTTGGAAAATTTGAGTTGTGCATGTTCATAGTTGATGTCAAACAAGGCAATACTGCCTTCTTGTTTTAGCCTTTGTAGTATAAATGAACGTCCTTTTCTCAGTTTAAGTAGAAAATGCTACATTTACTGCATTTTTGTGCCTTTAAAAATTGATTTCATTGTTTAAAATCGCCCCAAGCATAATGCTGAAGTGCTGTCCAGTGCTTCTAAACTTATAAAACTAATGTGTCTTGCAAAGAAAACATGTATTGGATACGCTTCATACAGGCATGAGCTATAGTGCTGTTGGCCATGAGTAATTAAGGCAGCTTTTAAGCAGTAATATGCATAAAACAAGGTTGTCTGTTGATCCATTGATGAAAAAGTTAATGACTAGGAACTTCACCGTGAATTTTCTGTAAGAGCAGTGGTTCTGTACTCACTAATTCAATGTTTACAGCAACTTTATACAATGTAACTACCACAAATAATGAGATAGGCTGTTTTAGTCTTACTACAGTTATGTGGCCCATAGGAAATATTAAATAGTACTATTATACTGTTGTATTACTATTAAGCAACTGAACAATATTTATAATTTTTAGTTTTGCATCTCTCTTGCACCATAAGATTCTAAGTCTTAGACCACGTTTGCTAGTCAGTATTTTCAAGATTTTGGCAAAGTAAATGAAGGTTTTGGTTTTCTTTCTCATGTTTTATTTTTTTCTCCCCTATGCTCAGCTTCAGATAAACCAGTCGATCATTTTCTGTAACTCCTCTCAGCGAGTTGAATTGCTAGCCAAGAAGATTTCTCAACTGGGTTATTCTTGCTTCTATATCCATGCTAAAATGAGGCAGGTGAGTGGATAACTAGAACTTGCACAAATTTTAAAAATTCTTTCCAAGTCTTTCTTGGATTTTATTTGTTTTAATGCTCCTCCAAATGCCCATAGTTTAAGAATAAATTATTCCTTGGTAGACAGTGTAACCTACCACTATTTTCACTACTTTTTCATTTTAACTCTTCTGAGGTACAGCTTTCTAACTAAAGTAGGGGTAATGATACATATTCTTACAAGGCTCTTAGGAAAATTGAGGTAATGTATGAGTATTTGTAAGCTGTCAGGCATGATACAAATGTGAGGTTTTATAGCAGCAGACTCACAGATTCCAGGAAGAGACTAGTGGTTGGTTACCAAAGGGAGAAGGGGCTGGAGAGGATAGGCTGGAAGGGAGGTAGAAGGGGATTTAAGGGGCATTATGTTTAGCACACGTAATGGAGGGTGGGTCATGGGGAAGGCAGTGTAGCACAGAGAAGACAAGTAGTGACTCTCTAGCATCTTACTACGCTGATGGACAGTGACTGCAATGGGGTGTGGCGGGGGGGGACTTGATAATATGGGTGAATGCAGTAACCACAATGTTGCTCATGTGAAACCTTCATAAGATTGTATATCAGTGATACTTGAATTTAAAAAAAAAAAGGTTTGGTAGCCCTGAAAAAAAAAATGAGGTTTTATTCCTTTGCTCCCCCAGGTACTTCCTAGGTTTTGCAGTGTTTAATGCAGTAACCACTAGTCACATGTGGCAATTTAAGTGAGTTAACATGAAATGAAATTAAAAATTCAGTTCCTCAGTCACACTAACCACATTCAAGTGCTACATTACATGTGACTAGCAAATACAAGTTCTGGAAAGTACAGATACAGAATATTTACATCATTGCAGAAGGTACTGTTGGACAGCAGTGCTCTATATTTTTAATTTATCTATGTACCTCCTTGGCCCATATATTTTTCTTTACTACTTAAAAGGATGTAATCTCAATTTCAGAACCTGATTTGATAGAAAATACATTGAATTTTATTTTCTGTAATTAAAACTGTAATAAGAGAACATGTATATATGTGCTAACTAAACATGGTAAAATGTCATGAAAAACTGTTTCTGTGACAGGTTAAAAACTTAACTCATTTGGTTTTTCAAAGATGCTTAATGTCATGAATCATATATCATCACATAGGCACCTAATATTAGAAACTATAACAGGAAGTGAATATATTAAGCAGAAGAGATGCTAGATTTATTGCTTTTGTTAGTTATTGTGTGTTTTCATGTTTTTAATTAAAAAGTAGTTATTTTTAGCTTTTTTTTAAAACAAAGTATAAAGGGAAATAGTAGATGTTATGGTGAAGCCAGACTTTTGGCATCTTCTGTTTGAAACATTTTAAAAGTAGTTACACAAAAACATGGTGAAAATCATCACTTAAAATTGAGTCCAGCAAAAAAGATAAGATTTTTAAGAATGAAAGTAAATGCTGTGTATATGCATAGATATGTATTAGTTGCTTATTAATTCCCATGGGAAACTGATTTATGTGTGTTTTTTTTTTTTACCTCTAATGTTTTTTGAATTGGCTTATCCCATTTGTATGAACAAATTTTGAGTGTAAAGAACTGTTTGGATAGGACGGTAATGAAGATTTAGGACTGTGTATATGAGTTTTAAATCAAATGCATTGCTTTGTTCTAGGAACATCGAAATCGTGTATTTCATGATTTTCGAAATGGCTTATGCCGCAATCTTGTTTGCACTGGTAAGTATTTTTTATTCCCTTTACCCATTTTTTCCTCCCTGGTTCTGCTGTGCTTCTCTGTCCCTGTCTTGCAGCAGAGCCTGTGATACAGTCCAGCTCACCCTGTTCCCACTTTTAGAATTTCTGAAGTTGAGCTATAGTTAACTCCTGAAGTTATTTCCATATCTGAAATTGCAAAAGACTTTTTCTGGCACTCATACCTTTCATACCTTAATCTGCTCGTTTTAAACCAATTTTAGGAATTTGTGTGTTTTCTGGATAGTTTTAGCATACAAGAATGAATTACATACAGTTTATGCAAAATAAGTCATACCAAGAATCTGTTTATGTTTTAGAAATTGCTTATTGTGACCTTTTAATTTTTTTGCCAGAAGCAAACTAGTCTGTATTTCGCTGCATGAGAGAAAAAAACTGGGAGGTAATTAGATCAGACTAAGCAAATGGGTTCAATATCCTCCCATCTCAAAACTGAGACTATAATCTTAGTATTAGTATGAGATTAATAATTAGTATGAGATTAATAATTGCAGCTGTATTTCTGGGTATGTTACTGTTACTGTATGACAGGTATTTAGCTTGGTGTTGCAAAAATGTACTCCCCACTATATATATTTTACTACAGTGTAAAAAAATTTTAGATAGATACACACACACCAAACTTTAGGAGCCTATACACTAGAAGAGAAAGTAGTTTATCAGTGAAATGTGCTTCGTACTTACAGTACTAACACATTAATATGAGTTAATTGGTTTCATTTTTAATCATTACTTGCAAGGGTTGCCCTCAGATAAGTTTTTTGAAGTCCCAATGCTTTCTCTCCTCTCATAGTTTTCAGGGCAGTGTGTAGTATGTCATTAAATAAGTACTGAATAACATACATGTATAAATAAAGACATGCAAAGTACCACTCCTTCCTTCAAGGAGGTTTAATCAGATAAAAAGGTAAACAACATTAAGAGTCTAAGGCAGGGTATGCAGAGTTTTTCTGTAAAGTGCCAGATGGCAAGTATGTTGGGCTTTGTACACCATCTGGTCTCTTACGGGTTGCTCAACTCTGCCATTCTAGCTCAAAAGCACTCTTAGTACAAAAGAACAAATGGGCATGACTGTGTGGCAGTAAAACTTGATTTATAAAAACAGGAGTTAGGCTGAATCTGCAAGGGAGTAAAGGTAATTTGCAAGTGTGAAGTATGTATAGTAAGTAACCCTAAGTTTTCATAGGAGAGGAAAGAAACTAGTTGAGGTGATCCGAGAAGAGGTGGAATTTTAAATGAGGGGACTGGTATAAAAAGTGATCCATAGAGGGCCAAGCAGATGCATTTAAGGAAGGGTAAAGGTAAGTTGGTGAGTTTGGTAAAAAGGAAGGTATTGGGAGGTGTGTTGAGAAGTATGTTAGAATCAAAATACAGAGTGGGGGGACCTTGAATGCCAATTTTAAATTTTATCTGGGAGCAATTTAAAGTAATGAGTTAGTAATCCAAAGCCATATTTAGAAATACTAGTCTGACTATCATAAATTATTTTGGAATATGGGGCAGACAGAAGCAGGGGAATCTCGATACTACCCAGTTGTGGTTGTTTCTACTTGTAGTTTTCATGGCTAAATTAGCCTAGTAATTACAGGACTAGGGAAGAGTTAGAGGTATGGCCTTGCATATTAGCTTACCTGGGAACTGTTACAAGTCATGTAGCAGAATGGAATAAATTAATTCTAAACAAAGCATAAATAATTACTGCTAGTGGATTACCTCTTCTTTTTGAAGTATTCTGGCTTACACAGTAAACTTTAAAAAATAATTTACTATTTTAATCATGGATTAAATACTAAAAAATGACTAAATAAAATTCTAGTGATTCTTGAGAGTTATTTATGAGTTGATAGCTTACCAGTCATCCTGGTCTCTTGGCATTTGCAGAATTACCTTACGTCATTTTTTTCTTGTAGGACTGGGGAAATGTAACCTGTTAGCAGTTACTCATGATAATGTGCATGAAAGGCAATGTCAGTAATTTGTGAATGCATTTGATTTACTGAATGAAGTATTCACTTACTAGTAGACTTATGTTGCACTAGAAATATATGTTGAAGAGTATTTATGGTACCAAGAAGCATATTCAAATTGGAAGATATAATGGAGTGTTTCTTGTTTTTTAAAGATTTGTTTACCCGAGGTATTGATATACAAGCTGTGAATGTGGTAATAAACTTTGACTTCCCAAAGCTGGCAGAGACCTATCTCCATCGTATTGGAAGATCAGGTGAGGAAGAGAAAGGGTATGTTCTTTGTGGAAGTTTTTTGAGTTTAATTGCTAAATTTTGTTCCTTCGTGAAATAGAGTGTGGTAGCAATGAGAACAGTGAGTTAATATTATATTTGATATAAGACTAATTTGTAATTCATCTAGAGATTAAGAAAAGTTAAAATAACTTCTGTATGCTAATTAATGAGAATGTCATTTTTTCCATTAAGTGGTACAGTCTGTAACTGTACTTTCAGTGTGTGTGTTCTGGCATCTTTTGACACAAATGAGCGTCCATTTTGCTATTGAAAAGGGTAAAATAGGGTACTGCTTTGGGTTGTGAAACCTGAAGTTGTTGTAGAGCAATGTGTGTATGAAGAATTTCATGTAGTCAGAGTGTCACTGAACAAAAATATGAACACAGTTGTGTTACTTAACAGATTTACACATGTATATTGATTCCCTTATTTAACTTCTTTTTTAATTCATTAAAAAATGTTTTTCGTTAGGTCGCTTTGGTCATCTTGGCTTAGCCATCAACTTGATCACATATGATGATCGCTTCAACCTGAAAAGTATTGAGGAGCAGCTGGGAACAGAAATTAAGCCTATTCCAAGCAACATTGACAAGAGCCTGTATGTGGCAGAATACCACAGCGAGCCTGTAGAAGATGAGAAACCCTAACAAGCATGTGCGTACCTGACAGAATGCCAAGTGAGCATATTGTTTAAAGAAAGGAAAACCAGATCCTCTCCCCTGAGGGAAATTTGATGTCCTACCTATAGCAATACAGGGTAAAACACCTGTTGGGATAAATGGCAGTAAATTTGAAGTATCTCTTGGGTAAAGTTGTAGTTTCATTAGAGATTTCATAGTGCTGTTCTTGAATGGAGTCTTCCTAAGTTATGTGGTATGTGAGCAGTACTTAAGTAAATGCAGACTTCCAAATAATGAAAGCAAAAAAGCATCTTTTTCAGCAGTTTTGAATATGAAAACACTTCCTATTCATCTTTCCTTTATCATTCCATTTTATTTCGTTAGCATTCACTCTTATTTTTTAGTGGGTATCTTAATATTATCAAGTTAAATTTCCTGTATACTGTGTTGCTAAATGTGTGATCAGGCTGTAAGGATAACTTTTTTTAATGCACCACCCTCTCCATTTTTTGGTGACTTTTGGCCTCTGGTAAAAATGCTCAAAATCCCTAAAGAGATGTAGGCTATCTTGGTTTTTTTCCTAAGGAAAACCTGATTTAACTTGAGAGATGGTAGTTTCAAATTGGCAATGAACATTTTACCTGTTTTAAAATTTTTCAAATTACTCTTTTCACTTTAACCTTAAAAAAAATTTTTTTTTTCTTGATTTGTCTTCCATGACTACAGCTGCCTGTTAGCAGAACTTTCAGGCTCTTACTTTATCTCTGGGATTCCTGGCAGAGATTCCTTATCCTGTGTGGATTCTACAATAGGCAGCGGCTCGGTAGAAGCTATTGTAGAGAGTACTTCCTAGGTTTTGCAGTGTTTAATGCAGTAACCACTAGTCACATGTGGCAATTTAAGTGAGTTAACATGAAATGAAATTAAAAATTCAGTTCCTCAGTCACACTAACCACATTCAAGTGCTACATTACATGTGACTAGCAAATACAAGTTCTGGAAAGTACAGATACAGAATATTTACATCATTGCAGAAGGTACTGTTGGACAGCAGTGCTCTATATTTTTAATTTATCTATGTACCTCCTTGGCCCATATATTTTTCTTTACTACTTGACTTAAAAGGATGTAATCTCAATTTCAGAACCTGATTTGATAGAAAATACATTGAATTTTATTTTCTGTAATTAAAACTGTAATAAGAGAACATGTATATATGTGCTAACTAAACATGGTAAAATGTCATGAAAAACTGTTTCTGTGACAGGTTAAAAACTTAACTCATTTGGTTTTTCAAAGATGCTTAATGTCATGAATCATATATCATCACATAGGCACCTAATATTAGAAACTATAACAGGAAGTGAATATATTAAGCAGAAGAGATGCTAGATTTATTGCTTTTGTTAGTTATTGTGTGTTTTCATGTTTTTAATTAAAAAGTAGTTATTTTTAGCTTTTTTTTAAAACAAAGTATAAAGGGAAATAGTAGATGTTATGGTGAAGCCAGACTTTTGGCATCTTCTGTTTGAAACATTTTAAAAGTAGTTACACAAAAACATGGTGAAAATCATCACTTAAAATTGAGTCCAGCAAAAAAGATAAGATTTTTAAGAATGAAAGTAAATGCTGTGTATATGCATAGATATGTATTAGTTGCTTATTAATTCCCATGGGAAACTGATTTATGTGTGTTTTTTTTTTTTACCTCTAATGTTTTTTGAATTGGCTTATCCCATTTGTATGAACAAATTTTGAGTGTAAAGAACTGTTTGGATAGGACGGTAATGAAGATTTAGGACTGTGTATATGAGTTTTAAATCAAATGCATTGCTTTGTTCTAGGAACATCGAAATCGTGTATTTCATGATTTTCGAAATGGCTTATGCCGCAATCTTGTTTGCACTGGTAAGTATTTTTTATTCCCTTTACCCATTTTTTCCTCCCTGGTTCTGCTGTGCTTCTCTGTCCCTGTCTTGCAGCAGAGCCTGTGATACAGTCCAGCTCACCCTGTTCCCACTTTTAGAATTTCTGAAGTTGAGCTATAGTTAACTCCTGAAGTTATTTCCATATCTGAAATTGCAAAAGACTTTTTCTGGCACTCATACCTTTCATACCTTAATCTGCTCGTTTTAAACCAATTTTAGGAATTTGTGTGTTTTCTGGATAGTTTTAGCATACAAGAATGAATTACATACAGTTTATGCAAAATAAGTCATACCAAGAATCTGTTTATGTTTTAGAAATTGCTTATTGTGACCTTTTAATTTTTTTGCCAGAAGCAAACTAGTCTGTATTTCGCTGCATGAGAGAAAAAAACTGGGAGGTAATTAGATCAGACTAAGCAAATGGGTTCAATATCCTCCCATCTCAAAACTGAGACTATAATCTTAGTATTAGTATGAGATTAATAATTAGTATGAGATTAATAATTGCAGCTGTATTTCTGGGTATGTTACTGTTACTGTATGACAGGTATTTAGCTTGGTGTTGCAAAAATGTACTCCCCACTATATATATTTTACTACAGTGTAAAAAAATTTTAGATAGATACACACACACCAAACTTTAGGAGCCTATACACTAGAAGAGAAAGTAGTTTATCAGTGAAATGTGCTTCGTACTTACAGTACTAACACATTAATATGAGTTAATTGGTTTCATTTTTAATCATTACTTGCAAGGGTTGCCCTCAGATAAGTTTTTTGAAGTCCCAATGCTTTCTCTCCTCTCATAGTTTTCAGGGCAGTGTGTAGTATGTCATTAAATAAGTACTGAATAACATACATGTATAAATAAAGACATGCAAAGTACCACTCCTTCCTTCAAGGAGGTTTAATCAGATAAAAAGGTAAACAACATTAAGAGTCTAAGGCAGGGTATGCAGAGTTTTTCTGTAAAGTGCCAGATGGCAAGTATGTTGGGCTTTGTACACCATCTGGTCTCTTACGGGTTGCTCAACTCTGCCATTCTAGCTCAAAAGCACTCTTAGTACAAAAGAACAAATGGGCATGACTGTGTGGCAGTAAAACTTGATTTATAAAAACAGGAGTTAGGCTGAATCTGCAAGGGAGTAAAGGTAATTTGCAAGTGTGAAGTATGTATAGTAAGTAACCCTAAGTTTTCATAGGAGAGGAAAGAAACTAGTTGAGGTGATCCGAGAAGAGGTGGAATTTTAAATGAGGGGACTGGTATAAAAAGTGATCCATAGAGGGCCAAGCAGATGCATTTAAGGAAGGGTAAAGGTAAGTTGGTGAGTTTGGTAAAAAGGAAGGTATTGGGAGGTGTGTTGAGAAGTATGTTAGAATCAAAATACAGAGTGGGGGGACCTTGAATGCCAATTTTAAATTTTATCTGGGAGCAATTTAAAGTAATGAGTTAGTAATCCAAAGCCATATTTAGAAATACTAGTCTGACTATCATAAATTATTTTGGAATATGGGGCAGACAGAAGCAGGGGAATCTCGATACTACCCAGTTGTGGTTGTTTCTACTTGTAGTTTTCATGGCTAAATTAGCCTAGTAATTACAGGACTAGGGAAGAGTTAGAGGTATGGCCTTGCATATTAGCTTACCTGGGAACTGTTACAAGTCATGTAGCAGAATGGAATAAATTAATTCTAAACAAAGCATAAATAATTACTGCTAGTGGATTACCTCTTCTTTTTGAAGTATTCTGGCTTACACAGTAAACTTTAAAAAATAATTTACTATTTTAATCATGGATTAAATACTAAAAAATGACTAAATAAAATTCTAGTGATTCTTGAGAGTTATTTATGAGTTGATAGCTTACCAGTCATCCTGGTCTCTTGGCATTTGCAGAATTACCTTACGTCATTTTTTTCTTGTAGGACTGGGGAAATGTAACCTGTTAGCAGTTACTCATGATAATGTGCATGAAAGGCAATGTCAGTAATTTGTGAATGCATTTGATTTACTGAATGAAGTATTCACTTACTAGTAGACTTATGTTGCACTAGAAATATATGTTGAAGAGTATTTATGGTACCAAGAAGCATATTCAAATTGGAAGATATAATGGAGTGTTTCTTGTTTTTTAAAGATTTGTTTACCCGAGGTATTGATATACAAGCTGTGAATGTGGTAATAAACTTTGACTTCCCAAAGCTGGCAGAGACCTATCTCCATCGTATTGGAAGATCAGGTGAGGAAGAGAAAGGGTATGTTCTTTGTGGAAGTTTTTTGAGTTTAATTGCTAAATTTTGTTCCTTCGTGAAATAGAGTGTGGTAGCAATGAGAACAGTGAGTTAATATTATATTTGATATAAGACTAATTTGTAATTCATCTAGAGATTAAGAAAAGTTAAAATAACTTCTGTATGCTAATTAATGAGAATGTCATTTTTTCCATTAAGTGGTACAGTCTGTAACTGTACTTTCAGTGTGTGTGTTCTGGCATCTTTTGACACAAATGAGCGTCCATTTTGCTATTGAAAAGGGTAAAATAGGGTACTGCTTTGGGTTGTGAAACCTGAAGTTGTTGTAGAGCAATGTGTGTATGAAGAATTTCATGTAGTCAGAGTGTCACTGAACAAAAATATGAACACAGTTGTGTTACTTAACAGATTTACACATGTATATTGATTCCCTTATTTAACTTCTTTTTTAATTCATTAAAAAATGTTTTTCGTTAGGTCGCTTTGGTCATCTTGGCTTAGCCATCAACTTGATCACATATGATGATCGCTTCAACCTGAAAAGTATTGAGGAGCAGCTGGGAACAGAAATTAAGCCTATTCCAAGCAACATTGACAAGAGCCTGTATGTGGCAGAATACCACAGCGAGCCTGTAGAAGATGAGAAACCCTAACAAGCATGTGCGTACCTGACAGAATGCCAAGTGAGCATATTGTTTAAAGAAAGGAAAACCAGATCCTCTCCCCTGAGGGAAATTTGATGTCCTACCTATAGCAATACAGGGTAAAACACCTGTTGGGATAAATGGCAGTAAATTTGAAGTATCTCTTGGGTAAAGTTGTAGTTTCATTAGAGATTTCATAGTGCTGTTCTTGAATGGAGTCTTCCTAAGTTATGTGGTATGTGAGCAGTACTTAAGTAAATGCAGACTTCCAAATAATGAAAGCAAAAAAGCATCTTTTTCAGCAGTTTTGAATATGAAAACACTTCCTATTCATCTTTCCTTTATCATTCCATTTTATTTCGTTAGCATTCACTCTTATTTTTTAGTGGGTATCTTAATATTATCAAGTTAAATTTCCTGTATACTGTGTTGCTAAATGTGTGATCAGGCTGTAAGGATAACTTTTTTTAATGCACCACCCTCTCCATTTTTTGGTGACTTTTGGCCTCTGGTAAAAATGCTCAAAATCCCTAAAGAGATGTAGGCTATCTTGGTTTTTTTCCTAAGGAAAACCTGATTTAACTTGAGAGATGGTAGTTTCAAATTGGCAATGAACATTTTACCTGTTTTAAAATTTTTCAAATTACTCTTTTCACTTTAACCTTAAAAAAAATTTTTTTTTTCTTGATTTGTCTTCCATGACTACAGCTGCCTGTTAGCAGAACTTTCAGGCTCTTACTTTATCTCTGGGATTCCTGGCAGAGATTCCTTATCCTGTGTGGATTCTACAATAGGCAGCGGCTCGGTAGAAGCTATTGTAGAGAGCATTTGGAGTGGGGATCCTGGCAACTTCTGCCCTAGTTCATGCCTCTTTCACAAATGCTAATTTTAGGTTCTTCCCTCTTCAGGCTTTGACAAACTGCAGAAGGCTCCTTTGGATCTGTGACACATCGTTTTGGGGGGATGCTCTTCTCTTTGTGGGTTTTTCATCTTCTTTTATTTTGGAACTATGAAGACTTAAAAGCTCAGACATTTTTTGTGTTTTTAACTGGTGAAGAGAAAAAAGCTGAAAAGAAGGAATTTACCTTTTTTGTTCCACTTGTTTGCACTGTGTGCTGACTGAACATTAGTTGCACTAACTGCTGGTCTTTAAAAAATGTTTTCTGGGGAAGGGGGGACAAGGAAGGAGGAAAAAGATGAGAAGGGAGAAACCCTAAAAAGAGAAGAATCTTGATGAACACACAAGCTTGTCTGCGATTTCAGAATTCCCCAACAGCTGACTCCGGAGTGCATTTCAACTTCTCCCTGGTTACTCATCGTTTCTTAAGCCTGAAGAGCTTATTACTTATTTGTGCGAAGTGCCTTATGCTATGAGACCATTCAGAATATCATCTTTTAGACAACAGCCCAAGGAATCAACGATAGTAATCCTCTCTTTCCTTTTTCTTTTCTTTCTTTTTAAAATTTTTGTCTTCATTTTGGTTTCAAGTTGGAGCCTCTCTCTTCCCTTTCTACCCAGTACTCAAGCCCAGGGCTGGAAGATGAAACGTATTAGTAATGTTAAACACCATTTTCTTTTTCTTTATGTGGAGGAGTTGATAATGCAACTGCAGTTCATCCGCACTGTAAATATATGTATTTAAAAGAAAAAAACAATCCCAAGTAAAAATTTCTTCTGGGCTGAGTAGATTACATCATCGCTCCCAAAGGAAAGAGCAGTCTATCGTTGCAGGAGCCATATGACAAGCCTTTGTGCTCTGTGGCAGAACACTAAAGACTGGCTTACATACGCCTCCATTAGCAGTTATGGCACTTGATGGATAGACATGTCAGAGCCTTGACCCTCTTTCCTCTGTGGCAAAGCGTGACCCATAGAAAATTGGGTGTGTATACTTGTATAAACTTTGTAAATAAGTTTTTTCTGGGTTCTCTTCCTGTTTCCTATGT